ATATATATATATATATAATATATAGAATGCTAATAGCAGTGGAATGATCATCACAAAGCAGCCGCCTTTCGCTTCATATCAAGACTTCATCAGAAGCCAATCAACTTATCCTGATTTTTCTTGGTTTTGCGATTGCACCTTTCTAATTTGTAAAGGCCCCTCTTCTCAGGGGTCGCTAAAGTTAATGGCGGGACCAGCCCTCAATTCCCATGAAGATTTCTCATCATTGGACCTGTGCAGATGACACTGAAGTCTTGATGCGAAAGCCGGCTGCTTTGTAAGGATTGTTCCACTGCTATTAGCATTATCACTTTGTATCGTTCTAATGATTGTTCCACGGCTAACAGCATTATAAGTTGCATTGTTCTACTCAATGCTCCCTCTAAGCTGCAGAGTCTTGTAAGCCAAAATCCTCCTTTGGGAGCTGCTGGCCTTAAAGTTGTGAGCGAGAGATTTGGCTGCTGCATGAATGAGTTTGCTCGGGAGCCCCATCCTCCTTGAGCGAAGACAAAAATGTGTGAGCCGGAGGCTAAGAAACTATCAGCTGGCTCACACTCACTCAGCTTAGAGGGAACAGTGGTTCTATTACATATCACTGAGATATTGTACAGTTTTGGCTACATATATACACAGACGCACGCACAATTTTTGGATGCCTAATTTTGAAACTATAGATCTGCAAACCCGGACTCTCTGCAAGCACGGCGACTGGCTGGAGGAGGGCTGCGTGAGCTTCCCGCGGCCGGCCTCCCGCATCCTCCGAAGTCCGGTCGCCCGCGACGCCCCCCCCCCCCCCAAAAAAAAAAGACCCCCCCAAGCCAAGCCAAGCGGACTCACTCGGCCGCGCTGGTGCCGTTGATGGCGGAGCCGTCCGGCGTGGGGTTCAGCTGGATGGGCAGGGGCTTCTTCTTCGGCATGGTCGCCCGCCGAGCGCGCCGCTCCCGGCGGAGGCAGAGTCAGCGGGCGGCTCCCCGACGGAGCAGAGCGCGCTGCAGTGCCGGCGAGCAGGACGCACGGGAGCAACAGGCGAGAAGAGGCCGGTCCTCTCCTCCCCCTCGCGAGGCTCCCGCTTCCGGGGCTCGGCGGCGGCTGCGGCGGGGCGCGGGTCCCTTTAAAGCCAGAGCCCGGCGAGGAGAGCAGGCGGCGGCGGCGGCGGCGGCTCCTCCCTCGGCGGCTCGGGTGCCTGGGCGGGGGGCGGCGGTGGTGGCGCGCATGTGTGCGGCGCATGGCCCTTGCGCGCTGAAGCCGCGCCGGAGCCTCCTTGCCCTTCCTCGCGCGGGGAGGGGAACTGGCCTCCCCCCGCCAGGGGAATGGCGGGCTGGCTGATTGGCGGGCTGCTGGAGCCCTGGCAGGAGGGAGGCGGCGGCGGCGGAGTCCGGGGCGCGCTTTGCAAACGGCCTGGCTGGCACGTGCAGGCGCGCGCGCCACGGCCCTCGGGCAGATCTTGGCCGGTTGGGAGCTGGGGAGAGGGGGCAACCCTGTTCCCTGGAAGGCCAGATAATGAAACTGAAGCTCAAATACTTTGGCCACCCAATGAGAAGGGAGCACTCCCTGGAGAAGAAGACCCTGATGCTGGGGAAGACTGAAGGTCAAAGAAGACGGGGACGGCAGAGGATGAGATGGTCAGACAGTGTCATCGATGCAATGAACATGAAGTTGAGCAAACTTCGGAGGACGGCGGAAGACCGGAAGGCCTGGTGTGATCTGGTCCACGGGGTCGCGAAGAGTCGGACTCGACTGTGTGACTGAACAACAACAAGAGGCAGGAACAAGGGTGCAGTTCTAGTAGAATGTTATAAGCTCTTGACTTTCACGTGCTCCTTCTTATCATACTATCTCCAACTATTTCAGTTCATGATCATTGTTATGGTACTCTAACATCATCAATATCTCTTGTATTATGCTTTGTTCTTTTTTGTTATAGCAAACACCGTATCTACATTATATTGCATTCATTCTATTATATTAATATAACAGTCCTTAACAAAAAAACACCTGACTTTGGACAGAGAAGTCATAACCAATGTTCCCTCTAAGCTGTGGAGCCTTGTGAGCAAAAATTCTGCCTTTTGCGCTACTGGTGTTAAAGTTGTGAGCGAGCGATTTGGCTACTGCATGAATTAGTTTGCTCTGGAGCCGCATCCTTCCTGAGCGAAGACAAAAATGTGTGAGCCGGAGGCTAAAAAACTGTGAGCTAGCTCACACTAACTCAGCTTAGAGGGAACACTGGTCATAACTATCTTGTGTTGTTCATTATATGTATTATATCGTGCATGGAAGCCCAATCATTTCTAAATTACAAGAGTGATCTTGGATATGGTATTGCTTTTGCTTGTGAGACACCTTGAACAGTCTCTGGGAAGGCGGCGTATAAATGCTTGAACCAAACCAGCAATTTGTAAAAGGAATTCATAACATTAAGGCGGCAGTCCTCCACACAATTTCCTGGGAATAAATCCCATTGAACCTACATCTGGGTAGAAGCAGATTGTGCAGGACAGTTCCCTCCTCCTGTGGTGAGATTTATACCAAGGAAGCCGAACAAAATTTAAAACGAAGTAAAAATATCCGTTTCTGGACTCAGTGTTATGCCACGCTGGAATTTAATGAAGAAGAAAGAAGAGATTGGATTTATACCCCGCCCTTCACTACCCAAAGGAGACTCAGAGCGGTTTACAATCTCCTTTCCGTTCCCCTCCCCACAACAGGCACCCTGTGAGCAGCGTTCCCTCTAAGCTGAGTTAGTGTGAGCTAGCTCACAGTTTTTTAGCCTCCGGCTCTCACATTTTTGTCCTAGCGCAGGAAGGGTGGCTCCAGAGCAAACTAATTCATGCAGCAGCCAAATCGCTCGCTCGAAACTTTAACGCCCGTAGCCGTAGCTCACAAAGTAGAATTTTTGCTCACAAGTTTAGAGGGAGCGCTGCTTGTGAGGTAGATGGGGCTGAGAGAGCTCTTATAAGAACCGCTCGTGAGAAAACGGCTCTGAATGAACTTGTGACTGAACCAAGGTCACACCAGCAACTGCATGTGAAGGAGTGGGGAATTAAACCCAGTTCTCCCGGATTAGAGTCCATGCTCCTAACTACTACACCAAGCTGGGGAAATGTAGCTTTTCAATGATCACCAAATTCACTGTAGAAGTGGATAAACCGCTATTTGTAATTCTCTTATGCATTTATTTTTAGCTATTTACCTCATTAGGAGCTGCGGTGGCTCAAGTAGTTAAGATGCTGAACTGCAGGCTGTGGAAGGTCGGTAGTTCAGCAGTTCGAGACCCGAGTGTGCCGCATGACGGAGTGAGCTCCCATCTCTAGTTCCAGCTCTTGCCAACCTAGCAGTTTGAAAGCAAGAAATTGCAAGTAGGTAAATAGGTACCACTTTGGTGGGAAGGTAACAGCATTCAGTGCGCCTTGGTGTTTAGTCAGGGTCCAGCTTACCTAAGGGACCGCCTTTCCTCATACGTTCCCCCACGAGCACTACAGTCTGGGACCCAACACCTCCTGGCGATGCCAGGTCCCAAAGAGGCCAGGCTGGCCGCCACCAGGGCCAAGGCTTTCTCGGTGGCGGCTCCTACCTGGTGGAATGAGCTCCCGGAGGAGATCCGGGCCCTGCGGGACCTGGTGCAATTCCGCAGGGCCTGCAAGACGGAGCTCTTCCGCCAGGCGTACGAGTAGGAGCCGCCAGTACCATCATTACCATCATCATTGTTCCATCGTCCCTGGCCCTGGAAGAAGGGAACATCAGCGTCTGCTAGAACAGATAACCCTGAGTAGTAGACAACCCTGAGTAGTAGAGAAACTGTATACCATCTGCGGAATATCATAGGAGAACGCCAGAGCACTTTGTTTAGTATAATGTTATTGTATTGAATGGATTTTATATGGCTTTATATTGGCGTCAGCCTCTTGTAAGCCGCCCTGAGCCCGCATATGCGGGGAGGGCGGGGTATAAATTGAATTAAATAAATAAATAAATAAATAGTCACCCCGGCCACATGACCACGGAAACGTCTTTGGACAGCGCTGGCTCTTCAGCTTGGAAACGGAGGTGAGCACCGCAACCCTAGAGTCGGACTCGACTGGCTTTCGAGCAAGGGACACCTTTACCTTTTTATTTACCTCATTAATGCCTGACTTTTCCCCCCAACGGGAACCCAGAGTGGCTTACGTCAGTCTCCCCTTTTATCCTCTTAACAATCCTATAAGGTAGGTTTGTCTGGGAACATGCGGCCTGCGCCAGGTCACTCACCACGCTTCCACAGCAAAGTGAGGATCTGAACCCGAGAATCCCACGTTCCCAACACTCTGACCGTGACACCACACTATACCGTATATATAACCAGGGCTATTTTTGGGCAGGAATGCACAGGAACGGAGTTCTGGCTGGCTCCTGAGTTGGCCACGCCCAGCAGGAGCTCATTAGCATAATAGGCCACACCCGACAGCAGAAACGCATTAGGATTGGCTACATTAGGGGTGTGTGGCCTAACATGCAAAGGAGTTCCTGCTACACAAAAAGCCCTGGGTTTTGACAACAAACAAAGCAAACAGAATAAGAAGCAAAAGTTGGGTGTGGTAACATGGGGGTGTGGCCTAATAGGCTAATGAGCTGTGATGTCCGGGGTGTGGCCTAATATGGTAATGTTTTTGCTGTTGGGTGTGACCAATTATGCTAATGAGTTCCCGCTGGGCTTTTTCTACCAAAAAAGCCCTGTATATAACCTTGCTTTTCTTCCCAGTGGAGACGCAGTGGCTTACAACATTGTCCCTTATATCATCAAAAGAACCCTGTGAGGTAGGTTAGGCAGAGACAGAGGGACTGGTCCATGGTCACCCAGTAAGCCTCAGTAGCAGAGTGGGTATTTGAAACTGGGTTTCCCAGGCCCTTAAGCACAATCACTACACCAAACTGTGAGAGCCAGTTTGGTGTAGTGGTTAAGTGCGCGGACTCTAATCTGGGAGAACCGGGTTTGATTCCCCACTCCTCCACTTGCACCTGCTGGATGACCTTGGGCAAGGCGTAGTTCTGATCAGAGCTGTTCTTGGAAAAAGAGCAGTTTCTCTCAGAGCTCTCTCAGCCCCACCTGCCTCACGGGGTGTCTGTTGTGGGGAAGGGAAAGGAGTTCGCAAGCCGCTCTGAGACACCTTTGGGTAGTGAAGGGCCATGGGGTATACATCCAATCTCTTCTCCTCTTCAAAAAAGTTAAATTTATTAAATGCAGATGTTTTGCAACACATTTTACAGGTATTCAAAAACATGACCAAAGCCTGCATTAAACAGCAGCTGTTGGGGCAGCTGCTGCTGAGGACAGACGGGCATTTTATTTATTTATTTTATTTATTTATTTTTCGTACTTATACCCCGCCCTCCCCCGTGGGCTCAGGGTGGCTTACAGAGGCAAGAACACTTGCCATGGTAAAACAATCATATACATAACAATTTAAAACATATACTACATATTAAAATCTTAATTTTTGGTTTTCTCGAGCAGAGCAACCCTCATTGCAGAGCCACTGTGGAACCTGACTCATATTGGAGCCCCTCTTCTGATCAAAGCCCTACTTTGCTCGTAACAGCACCAGCCTTAGCCAGGACAACATACAACACATGACCCCAGGGAATGAGGCTGGGTGATGTAACAATAGCACATCCAGGAAAACCAAGGCAATTAAATTATTGGCAGGAGGCCAATGAACTGTATATTTCCAGCAAGAGACTTGCAGCCGCTTTATTACAGTTACACTGAAGCTTTCTGCTTAGATGGGCGTGTCTCCACGTACATTAAAATAATTTACCTATGCAAGTTTGGCACTGGAATCTTTCTCTTGCATATTTGGCTCTGCCTGCGGCTACGTGCCATATTGTCGTTCTGTAAGTGCGTTAACTGTTTCCGGTCACTTCCGACTTATGTTGATCCTATGGATTTATGCCTTCCCAAATGTCCTCTCGTCAACAGCTTTGCTCAGATCTTGCCGACTGAAGTCCATAGCTTCCTCCATTCACCAGTGTTCCCTCTAAGCTGAGTTAGTGTGAGCTAGCTCACAGTTTTTTAGCCTCCGGCTCACACATTTTTGTCTTAGCTCAGGAAGGATGGCTCCAGAGCAAACTAATTGATGCAATAGGCAAATCGCCTGCTCACAACTTTAATGCCAGTAGCTCACAAAGTAGAATTTTTGCTGACAAGACTCCACAGCTTAGAGGGAACATTGCCTGTGAGGTAGGTGGGGCTGAGAGAGCTCTTCCTAGCATTATTCTCGTTTCTAGTGAGTTTTGCCTCCTCATTATGTGACCAAGGTACCAAAATAATTTTAGCATCTAGGGAGAATTCAGGTTTAATTCATCACTCGTTTGTCTTTTTGGTGGTCAGTGGTATTCATCAAACTCTCCTCCAACCCCACATTTCAAATAAATACATTTACTTCCTGCCAGCTTTATATTGTTCGATTTCTTCACTGCCCAATTTTAATATTCGTACATTGTAATGAGGAATACTATAGTATGAATTACCTCGATCTTGGTCTCCAGTGAGACTTCCATACACGTAAGGATCTTTTCTAGTTCCTTCACGGCCGCTCTTCCCAGTCTCAATCTCTTTCTGATTTCCTGGTTGCCGTCTCCCTTTTGGATGATGATTGAGCCAAGGGATAGAAAATCTTCAACAACTTCAGTTTTTTCATCAGCTACAGCCCTGGTGTTGTGCCATGCTTTGGAACTGGCACACTATCAGCTATTATGCAGTTGTTTGCCAGCATATACCCATTCTTACGATTGGCCACCAGTTTTTCATTTTTTTAATATACCTATACCATTAGGAAAGATTTTGTGTCAGCTTTTTATTTAGAATAAGCCTAATTGAATTCAATAGAGATTGCGATTCGTTTGGAGACTTATGTGGGTGATATTACTGCCCTAAACCATACTGAGTCCTAGGAGGTAGGTTTGTAGCAGAGGTCATTTCGGGGGGGATCGTGGGGGATCGCAGTCCCCCCGGGTGAGGTGCAGGGGGGTGGGGCACATGACAAAGCCCCGCCCCCTGCTTCTGGCCACCCCGCTTCCGGCCCTCATTCAGCCAGGAGGAGGCAGGAGAAGAGGGAGGGTAAGTTGCTTCCTCCCCGCCTCTCCCCACCCCTGCCTGCCTGGGGCCAGGGAGGGCCTTCGCGGGGCTTCCTCGCCCTCCCGCCGGCCTTGCAGGTCCACCGCCGGGCCCCTGATGTCAGGGGGGGTGGCATATGCTAATGAGTTATGCTAATGAGTCCCCCTAGCTCTTTTTCTACGAAATGACCCCTGGTTTGTAGTATTAAAATAAAACACTGAGGAGTTGGTGTGAATGAGTGCTTTCCCCACAAATGTTTTATAACATTACATTTTGGGTTAATATTTGACTTGTGTTGCTGTTCCTTGATTGCAAAAAGGACATAGAACCACTCCTGAAACTGGATCTGATAGAAGCACCACACTTACGGCTTCAGGATTCCTAATTAAATTAAAAGTGTTGGATGAATGGAAGAAGCAAACTGTGATTTCATTGGGAACCTCAGAGAAATTTACTACACAGAGCCAAGTTTCGTGCTGGTGATTAAGAAGAAAAGAAGGATAATGTAAGTAACTGGGAGAAGTTCCAATAGCAAATTTAATGTGAGGCCAACACACATTGAGTTTCAGGGCAGAACTATTTTTGGCAAAGGCTATATTGGATGTAGGAGACCTTGGGTTGTTGCCTGCATCCAGAACCTTGGATCAGAACATGAGTCCTGCCAGAATAAGTAATCATAGCTATCAATTCCAACCTTTCCCCCCAATAAAGTGACTGGCCCAAAGTCTTCTAGTGAGCTTTGGAGCAGAGCAGGGATTTGAATCCAGAGCTGCCTGTTCTAGCCTGTTGGGCTTGCTGGGATTACCCTTTTCGTGCTAGGATTATCCTTTAAACTAAAGGTTACCATATTTTGAAAAGCAAACAAAAAGAGCACGTATTTCGCGACTATTTCAAACAAGTGATCACTATGACAAATCTCATTTTAAATACCACTCCCATTTCAGGTGCGATAATTGCTACTGGCTAGAAATATCCCTAACCTTCTAACCCAAAAATGACATTTTCATCCAGCTCACAGATTTTTGCTCTAGCTCAGGAAGGATGGCCTCAAAGCAAACTAATTTATGCAGCAACCAAATGGCTCGCTCACAACTTTAATGCCCGTAGCTCACAAAGTAGGATTTTCGCTCACAAGACTCCACAGCTTAGGGGGAACATTGGTTGCCATGTTGATCTGAAGCAACAGAACAAAGTTTGAGTCCAGCGGCACCTTTAAGACAAACGAAGTTTTACTCTGGGTAGAAGCTTTCATGTGCACACATACTTCTTCAGATATCTTAAGTGTGCATGCAGGGGTCATTTCATAGGAAAAGAGGTGCAGGAGCTCATTAGCATAACTTATTAGCATAGCTTATTTGCATATGCCACACCCCCTGACATCACCGGAAGTGTGTCAGAAGGCAACATCCACCGCTCAGGCTCCACTGGACTGTTTTGGATTGCTAGCTATTGGGGGGGGGGGACGCGCAGATCTGCCCTCACAGAGGAGGGAGAGCTTGTACCTGAAGGTGGGCTGAGGGGGGGGGGCTCTGCAGCTTACCTGGCTGTTTCTTGTTCCTCGTGGCCCAACTGAGGGCTGCTGGGAGCAGGGGGCGGGGCTTGTTGGATGTGCCCACCCCCTGGGCTCCTTACTGCCGGAGCTCTGCTCCTGTGCGCTCCTGCAGGAAATGACTCCTGTGTGCGTGCATAGAAAAGCCGACACCCAGAATTAACTTTGTCGGTCGTAAAGGTGCCGCTGAACTCAAACTCTGTTCTTTTGCTTCAGACCAACACGGGCGTCTCATTTGAAGCTAGAATGGATGTACGTTTATTATTGTGGTGGTACCAGACAGTACTGGTTACCAGCATCTTTGGGGAGGGTGCTACAAAATCATGAGGGGGAATTGGTATAACCTTATATAGTACCATCATGTCTTTTTAAAAAACAACATTAAAAAGCACTATATATATCTAATGTGCTGTCTGTTGTACGGCATATACTGTAATGTATTGAATTGTGGAAAGAATGTATATATATTCACATGTGCAGTTAATGGCTTGGCCTAATCTTTAAATGGCTTCATTTTGGTTCATTTGGCCCTGATTCCACCATTCGAGAAGCTGATGAGCAAGGCGAGCCAAAAGATCAGATCAACCTAACTGTTGCTGCCATCCCTACGTATTAGTTTACAACTAGCTAGCACTTTATGATATTGGACCGTTTTTAAATTATTTTGTGTTATAATTGTTTTTATGTTTTATCCTTTGTCAGCTGCCCTGAGCCTGCTTTGGCGAGGAGGGCGGGGTATAAGTCAAATAAATACATAAATAAACAAAATTTGAGTCCAGTGGCACCCTTAAGATGCACACTTCTTTAAGACCAACAAAGTTTAATTCTGAGTGTAAGCTTTCATGTGTATACACACTTCTTTTTGGCTTTTCAAAATATGGCAACCTTAATTCAGGAGAAAAAGAACTAAATTTGAGTCCAGCGGCACCTTTAAGATACCGTAACCTGCTTGATGTTCTTTAAAAGTTTGTCAGTGTAACACAGTGTTAATAGGTTTGCAAAAGAAACAAAAACTGTACTTAAGTATTCTTACACATTGCTTTATAAATGTTTTACAAGGTTCACCTTATGTATTCAACTACTGTTCAGAAGAAGATACAGACATCGAAACGATACATTACATTCCGGAGAGGATCGTCAATAATTGTTTCATTATTTAGCTATTCAATGTAGTGTACTATTGATGAATTGACCTTGCACAAGGTCGCTGGGAGACGAGGCCAAATATGCTTCTCGCGCCTCTTGGTTGTAAATAATACAGTTCTTCAAATAAATAATAATTCGGTTCCCCTCAGGAATGTTTTGGCCCCCCCAAAAAGATAAAAGGGTGTCTCTGGCTGGGATTGGCCTGAGGGTAAAAAGCGCGCGAACCCCCAACACAGAGAAAGGCGGGGCAAAGAGCGCGTGCGCAGTAGAAGATTTGGGCGAACAAGGCGGCGTCGCAGGCGCCGACTTCGACTTCAGCGAATCATCCAGGAAAGACCGGACGGCCCCCCCTGTTCTCGCGAGATTACGCCGCACCCGCTTTTAAGCGCACGCGCAGTCGTCTTTCCTCCGTGCCTCGGCGCGGTTTCCTCTCTCCTAGTTTGTCCCCCCCGCTCTTTCCGCCTCGACCGGAAGTGGGAGGTCCGTTCTGAATGAGGTAGGCGGACGCGCCGGAAGTGGCTTTTATCCTCTCAAGTTTGGCACCGCCTCGGTCTCGCTGGCGGCCCGCGTTCCGAGTTTTGCCCTTGGCCCGTCTCCCGGTGCCGTTTGGTGAAGAAGCGGTTAGTTTGGCCTCCAGAGTGCAGGTGGAGATGCGCGCCCCTTGTTTTACGGGATGTGGGCCCGGTTGAGAGAGGGAGGGAGGCCGATGAAGCTTCTGCGGCCCAGCAGTCAGTGTGTGAGGCAAGGGCGCCACAGACCAGGGGGTCCCCAACGTGGTGCCCGCGGGCACCGTGGTGCTGGCTGACGCTTTTGCTGGTGCCCGCCCGGGGGGTGGGGTGGCTTTTGCCCAGCAAGGCTTTTGATTGGCCATTGGAGGTTTGATGGGCTGTCCAGATCTTTAAAAATCAGGATGGGTCGCCCTGTTAGGCTGCCTGCAGCAGTAGAGAAGAGCAAGAGTCCAGTAGAACCTTAAAGACGAACAAAATCTGGGGCAGGGGAGGAGCTTTCTTGAGTCACCGCTCCCTTCTTCGGGTACAGCTAGAACGGGAGTTCCATCTGTCCTGTTTTGTGACCCTGCCACATATTTTGTTAGTCCTTAAGAGGCTACTGGACTCTTGCTCTTTTCTACAGATAATTAAAAATGTCGATTTTGGCAGCCGCTACCATCACAGCACAAGGCTACATGAAGCTGCCTTCTACAGAATGAGACCCTCGGCCCATCAAGGTCAGTCTTGTCTACTCAAACCGGCAGTAGCTGTGTCCAGGGTCTCAGGCAGAGAAAGATCTTTCACACCGCCTACTCACTGCTCCCTTAACTGGAGATGCCAGGGATTGAACCTGGGACCTTCTGCATGCCAAAAAGAGGCTCTACAAACTGAGCCACAGCCCTCTCCTATTTTTACTGTGTGACTGGAGGTAAGCTGTGGTAGCTGCTCTGATAGGTGAGAGCCAGTTTGGTGTATTGGAGAACCGGGTTTGATTCCCCACTCCTCCACTTGCACCTGCTGGATGACCTTGGGCAAGCCATAATTTTGTCAGAGCTGTCCTTGAAAGAGTAGTTCTCAAGAGAGAGCTCTCTCAGCCCCGTCTACCTCACAGGGTGTCTGTTGTGGGGAAGGGAAAGGAGTTTGTAAGCTGCTCTGAGACTCCAAGTGAAGGGAGGGGTATAAATCCAATCTCTTCTTCTTTGTGGCTAGCTCTGCCTCTTTTGACAGTAATTTCTAGCAGCCATTTTGTGGCTGTGCCCACCGTGCTACATCAGAATTCCAGGTGTGCCCACAGGCTTGAAAAAGTTAGGGACCCGTGCTATGGACCATGTGATAGGTTCCCACTCAGCCATGAGCTTCGCAGTCTCCGTCTAACCTACCTTCAAAAGGTCGTGTGAGGATAAAATGGAGGGTGGGAGTTCCTTGGAGGGAAACTTTTTTAGGGGAGGAGGGATTCACTGGCAGCTTTCAAGAAGAGGCTAGATGAATATTTGTCAGGGATGCTTTAGGCTGGTCCTTCATTGGGCAGGGGGGTTGGACTAGATGGTCTGTATGGCCCCTTTCAACTCTGTGATTCTATGATTCTGTTCTTGTTGTCTTGGGTGCATTAGGGCATTTCAGGGAAGAGGTGCCTTAAACCCCCCCCCCTGCAATTCTGCACTTCACTGAAATTGAAGGTTTAAATGTCGGTTGTACTGTACTGTACTGTTCTTAGTTTCTTGCAAAGACCCAAGAATTTTCATTAATTGTTAGTTGTCCATTTGAACTAGTAAAGAACAGAAGAATAGGGTTGGTCTGTTCTTGATACCTAGGTGGGTTTGCAAAATAATAGACCCCACTTTTACCTTTGTGTTCTTTTGCAGGACAGAACAGCTTTGTTGGACAGATGATTGATCCAGTAGATGGCAATTTGTTTGACATTCCTGATTATGAACACACCCAGGATGAGGAGTTTCAACCTCTACCTCCTCCAGCCTCCCCAGGGGGAGAAGATGAAAAAGGTAACTTAGTCACTTGTTTCCACTGCTAAGCAAAAATTACCTTCTGTAAGGACAGTGGCTTTGAGATGGTCTGTATATTTTGTGCTTTGTAAAGTAATTCAGTTTAGATGTGGCAGTTTGCAAAACCCTAAATCTCAGACTGCCTTTGGATCTGTCAGTCTTATCTGCCAGCCTGTCTTATCTAACAATATTTATTACAGTGGACAGTTCGTTCTGTGGTTAGTATTATTTGCATTTCCACTTACGTTTTGTTTCTTTTCCAGAGCCAGAAGGAAAAAACTCATCGCAAACCAAGGATTCGTCGATGACCACCAGGAAAGGTGTTAAAAGGCCAATGCCTAAACTAGATGCTCAGAGGTAGCTGGTGATATGTTTCTAACACTCTCTTTCTTCAAGCATGCACACACACCTGCTTGTTTGTATACAATGTAGAAACAACAGAGAGATCACGAGAAGGATGCAAACAATGAAGAAAATAACCGTGATGTAGTATTATGAAAATATATTTAGACTGCTGTTTTGCAGTGAGTAGTGTTTCTTCAACAGATTAGAATTGTTGATATGTAAATTAATGATATTTACGCAGCACACCGAAAAATCTGTTATGTGAAAGGGAGTATATGCAAATTCCGTAGTGTGTATGCATACATCTTTATTACTTGTTGAAGAAACACTACTCACTGCCAAACAGCAGTCTAAATATGTTTGTATACAATAGCAGGAGGCAGGGGTCATTTCACAGAAAAATAGGTGCAGGAGCTCATTTGCATAGCCCATTTGCATATGCCACACCCCCTGACAAAGGGCAGGCATGCAAGCATGTCTGGGTTATCGGGCAGGGAACCCTGGCATGTTTAAAATTCCCCCAGGTGGCGGGGTGGTGGTGCCCCTGGGCGGTGCTCTGGCAGGAAATGACCCCTGGGGACAACTAACTTGCATGTAAGTGCTTGTGAATATCCACTCCAGTCTTAGATCAGCACTGCCTTACTGGATCAGAGCAAGGTGCACCAAATGGCAGCGTTCTTTCCAGTAATACCAGAAATCAGCAGGTACCAAATGGACCATCAGAAACTGGCCCACAGACCAAATTTCCTTCTGTATACCCCAATATGTTGCAATTAGTACTATTTTTAGCAAGAAACATTATTTGGTTCTACATATTTGGGGGGGGGGACCCATACCTAGAGAGTCCTGGGTTCCACTTGCCCTCGGGCTTACAAATAGGTTGACACGGAATGCATCTTGTGTCGTGGAGACCAAACTCCCAGGCATTGAGGTGAACTGCTGTGATTACATATTCACAGTAAGCCTTTCTCTCTCTTGGGGAGGGCCACAGTTGCGTCTGCACTGATGAAATCCATGGCCCCCGCCCCCTGAATAAAAACTCTTAGCCATCAAACAGACTCCCTTGTTGACTCCCACAGAGTTTGCAATTAGATGTGGTTAGACTGTGGAATGCAGAGGTAATTCAGTTTGCCTGCTCCTCACCATGGGAGAAATGTTTCAGAGTTTTAAAGCTTTTATTGACAGGGAAGAGATTATTTTTCCTTCCTTTCTGCCGAACCTACACGTTAGAACTAGATAAATGTGGCTGCAATGAATATAGGGTGCATTGTTTAGCAGTACAGTGCATCCCCCTGCAGTTACATACATTAAAGAAATGGTTCCTGCCGACAGCATCTGTCTAGTTATCAGATTTTCTGTGCGATGGTTCCATACATTAGTCGTGAATAACTCAACCATTCGCGTTTAGGAAAAGATTGATTAAGTGTTTTTACTGGGAGCCGTATACTCTTCCTGATTTTGCTTCACATTGCTTCCTAATTTGTGAGTCTAGTAGCTATATGTACACTTCTACCTTTATATGAAGCTAGATTTCCAGAAAATTTTTACTATCATGCGAAATGACTGGATATTGACCGCTAGCTCTAAGCAAGGAAGTGAAACCCAAAGGGTAGTATGTCTTGAGACGTGTTCCCTCTAAGTGTGCGCACCTCCTTCTGGGGCCCATAGAATTGGACCCCCTGGTCCAATCTTTTTGAAATTGGGGGAGGGGGTTGAGGAGAGGTACCAGCCTTGCCCCTGCCTCAAAAAAACAGCCCCCGCCCAAGCTCCAGATTGATTCTCCATTATAGCCTAAGAGACCCATTGACTATAATGATCCCCATTGGCTATAATAGAGCCCTGGAGAAATAGATTTTTATTTTGCACACCCCATTACGCTTTTCAGTATGATTTGTAAGATGCCTTGAGTCACAGTAAAAGTGGGATATAAATATTAGAATAAATAAGTAATTTGGTTAGTCAGGGTTCTGACAGTGATTGTTCCTCCTCTGTTATACTTGACCTGTAAATTTGTCATATTTCACCAAAAAAAACCCAAAGGAGACCGCAAGAGGTTCCCCCCCCCCCCAAAAGTGCAGGTATGTTTTCTAACGCTCAGCGCAGGGCGACAGTCCAAGGCCAGGTCTACCAATATAGTGGACTGGGACGGGTAGACCTGTTCTCCAGAGGCCAGGTCTACCCCCATAGAGGACAACATCTTCTGTAGTGAAATTTGACTTGATTCAGTTTTCTCCTATAATCTTTAAATTATTCTTAAAATATTGTTTAAATATAGTGTAAAAGAATTCATTCTGAGATTCTTACAAGGTTATGGAAATCTTCTAAAAATCTAATTGATGTGATCGTCCAGCGTAGACTCGCTCACAACATTAATGCTGCTAACTTTCTTTCGCTCAGAAGGTAGAATTTTTGCTCACAACTCTGTGAGGCTTAGAGGGAACACTGGTCTTGAGGTACGCTTGTCTTTGAAGCAGGTTGTCACTGTAGCCCACCTGAGGTGCACATTTTGGCTGGACAGTACCAGTAAAGAGTTTGTGCATCCCACGCAGGTGATGATGGTGGAAGCAGTGGACTCAGTGCAGCTACCGAAGAAGTGGATATTTTTTGGGAGAACCAGAATCCAAGAGAAGGCGTTGTTTCACCTCAGAGCACACTCCACAAGATCCGTGGCTACGTCTACAGCCTTCTTGAAGGGTGCTTCCCTGTCAGCGATCTGTGGGGCTGCGACACGGCCTACTCCAAACACCTTCATCAAGCACTACGCTCTTGATGTTCGTGGATGCCACAGAGTGCACCTTGGCCGCCTAGTCCTTTCGTCGGCAGAGCATTGAATTTGCGACAGCTCCCGCCTCCAGGTGAGCCACTGCTTTTCAATATCCCCTGGGTGTGATGCACAGAGACCAAGAAGAAGATAAGCAGGTTGCTTACCTGTAACTGGTGATCTTCGAGTGGTCATCTGTGCAGTCACACCCACCCGCCTTTCCTTCCCACAGGACCCATCACTCTATGTGGAATCTCTCTAATTCCCACACACCTGGGAACGCTACAGATGGCAGAAGAATGTTTTCCTGCAAATGCATACCCTTTGGACAGGCAAATGCACACAGGGAAGGAAGTGTGGCTACTCCAACCATATCACATCTGGCAGAAGGAAAGCCTGGGAGAGAGATAAACACCTCCAGGGTTTTTTTGCGAGGCAAGGGAAAATCCACAATTACAGATTAATAGAAGATAATCCCTGTCGTCTCCACACTGCCTCACATGGGAAACAGGAGGGATTTGAATTCCACCACAGGAAAACTCTTCTCTGCTTGATTTTTGATTAGTATTGTCGAAATACAAAAATGTAGGATATTAACACAGCAAAATTACCTGTAGCACTGAGAAAATACATTTAAAATTAGGCAGGAAACTACACCATGGTGTGTTTTTTTTAAAACCCCAAGTACCCAAAGCACGGAGCTGCGGTGGCTCAAGTGGTTAAGACGCTGAACTGCAAGCTGTGGAAGGTTGGTAGTTCAGCAGTTCGAGACCTGAGTGCCGCATGACGGAGTGAGCTCCCGTCTCTAGTTCCAGCTCCTGCCAACCTAGCAGTTCGAAAGCAAGAACTTGCAAGTAGATAAATAGGTACCACTTCAGGGGGAAGGTAACAGCGTTCCGTGCGCCTCGGCGTCTAGTCATGCCGGCCACATGACCACGGAAACGTCTTCAGACAGCGCTGGCTCTTCGGCTTTGAAATGGAGATGAGCACCGCAACCCTACAGTCGGATTCGACTGGCTTTCGAGCAAGGGAAATCTTTACTTACCCAAAGCACAGAGGTGGTTTCCTTCTGCCCATTTTAATATGGCAACCATTTAATGAAAGGGATGGTTCTAAGCAGCTGCAGCTGAAACACAACTCTTGCATTCTCTATCATATTAAACTCATGAATGGTGAAAAGTCATACAAAGGAATGCATGTGTACTCTGATAGGACCTCTGTGTTTTGACTTTAACCAAGTTACTTTGCTGCAGCACGACCCAAGAATAAAACCCATCACTAAGAGGGACTAAGCAGGAGCCCAGTGCTGCCCTGAAAGCTAATAATATATATATGTCAGCATAAACTGTCTTGAGTCACAGTCACGTTTGGTGAAGTGAGTTCTGAGACACAAAAGTTTATACAGGAATTTAGACTGTTGGTGTCTAAGGTGTGCCACCGAGCTCCTGTTCAGTTTTCCTGTAACAGACTAACATGGCCACCCTTGTGGAACATTACACTTGAATTAGTAGTTGCAATACAGGATATCGCAGAGTGACAGCCCAAAGAGGTAGGACGTATTTCAACTTTGGCAGAGGAAGGAGCCTTATACCACTAAAAGGCATAAAAGGGCTAGGCCTCTTGAAGAAATGATGTCTAGTGTGTGAACAGTCCTAGTCTGATGCCACACCCCTTTCCAGAGACAGTGAGCACAGGCCAGTAGCTAATGAGGGGCCCAGGCCACCCCCCCCCCATGGTTCTTGCGAGCCCCTCACCCCTGATCGATCACTTCTTCTCTCCCCCTGCCCCCGGCTCTAGACGGCTGAGTTTGGCCCTGGGTCGGCCTCCGCTGGGCGGGATGAGGCCTGGCCCGGCGCTTCTCGCTGGGCGGCACTGAGCAAGTGAGCGGTGGGCCAGGGACTCCGATGACGAGGCAATTCGCGTCCACCGCGGGCGGGGTGATGTGGGAGGGAGGGAGGCAGGGTGCCCCTGGTGGCTTGGAGCGGTAGCCGTGCCACAGTAGCCGTGCCTCCCCCGTGAGGAAGGCCAGCGGAGGCGGTGGAGGCTGGGGGGGGCACCGAGCGCTTCTCCCGGCGGGGAGGGGGACAAGAGTAACAACGAGAGGGGCCGCTGGCTGGAGCCATTCCTGTCCCACCCGGGTAACAAAGAGGCCACGAGCGGCTGGGGGGGAGCGGACAGCGAACTGCTCACCCCGGGCACCTCTCCCTCCTCTCAACCTCTCGGCGCCGGCACGCCCCCCCCCCCAACCACCACGAAGGCAACAGGCACCGTCCCAAG